CAATGTCCTCTCCTCACACATACGTGACCCCCAATGTCCTCTCCTCACACATACGTGACCACCAATGTTCTCTCCACGCCGATGCTCTCGTGATTCCAACTTCACTTGGGTTACATACTGCATTGTTCTTGTTTGGAAGGGGGGAGAGCACCCAGCACCCCTCACCCCTCACTGCCATCAAGTCAATTCCAACTCATAATGATCCTACAGAGTAGACCTGCCCCTTTGGTTCCCAAGCCTTTAAATCTTTACAGAAGTAGATGACCTCATCTTGCTCCTTCTGAGTGCCTGGTGGGTTCAAACTGCCAGCCTTGTGGTTCGCAGCTCAGTGTGTCACCCGCTGTGCCATCAGAGCCTCACGGGTTGGAAATAGTTTCCACACATCCTGTCCCACGGAAAACAGCCCACGTCAGTGAAGGAGAGAGACTGCATGCTGCCGGGAGTGGGAGGCTGGTTGGGGGCCGTAGCTGGTTCGGTTTTGCTGGTCGGCTTCGCTGCAGTACACGTACATGCATATCTTGGTATTGCACCGCCCCTCCCTCTTCCACAGATAGGAGCGCGGAGGAGATTTGATCTGTGCCCGGAAAGGCTGGCCAGGCTGGCTGCATTAATCACACTTATCAGGGATTCCTGGAAGACAGGAATGCATTTTCCTTCCCGGGCGTGTTCCCGTGACCACTGCGTGTCTGGGAGCCCTGCACGGCCAGGCTGTATCAACTCACAGGGTGGTGTGGGGACCTGTCATCACTCCTCTGAGCCCACAACATGACCCAGGGCTGGACTGAGGCCAGTCTTCTCTTAGGCCAAGCAGGCCAGCAGCACTTTTTAACTCCATCAGGAGTAGGAAAACAGAGCCCTGCAAACCCCACCATGATTCCCTCCCCCCACCCCATGAGCCTAAAGCTCTAGACAGCAGTTGGCTCCAACCTCCGGGGCAGTGCCTCAGTGACGGGGGCCGCTGCTCCTAACAGAACAGAAGCAGGAGGCCACACCCCAGGACTCACCCGCAGACCGTACACGACAGGCTGGTCACCTGCCTCCCCGGCATGATATGCAGTGGGCTGCTCACGCTAAGGGTCTACTCACCACATCATTCCTTCAAAACTCGAAGCCTTATCCATAATTGGCCCCAATCAGAAGCAACCCAGGTGCCCTCCGGTAGGTGAATGGATAAACATGCTGTATATGTCTGCACAGTAGAATATTATTCTGCAAGTGGAAATGAGTTAGCAAACTATCAAATGACATACGGGTACATATTGCTAAGCGAAAGAAGGCTGCCCGGAAAAGCTACATAGGGTGGGATTCCGGCTCTGTGGCGTCTGGAAAGGGCCAGAGTATAGAGGGAGGGAGAAAAGCAGCTAAGGGTTGAGCGGGAGGTAAGGAGGGAGGGGTAGACGGAGCACAGGATGTAGGGAGGGCACTGAAACGTCTAAGATTTATGTGAAGTCTTTGTCCTAGAACTGCGTCACACAAAGATGAGCCCTCCTCTAAACTGTGGACATCAGTTAATAATGTATCAGTATCAGCTTATTCCCAGGCATGTACCACACACAGCTCAAGACTTCGATAACAGAAGAAACAGTGGCAGGGAAGAGAAGGAGTTGACTGGAACTTTCTGATCTCTATTTTTTAAAACAAAACTGTCACAGAAAATAAAGTCTGTAAGTGTGTGTTTAACACACACACAGAGCAAGCAAAGCATGCGTGTATCACCCAGTGGGAAAGGCTGCTCCTCGTGTCCCCCTGAAGACTATGCTAGGAGACTGGCACCAGCATCCCTCACTGCGTTGTCACCCGTGGGCCGTCCAGGGTGATGGAAGGCCAGGTGTAAGCAGCCTATGTTGGGGAGTAGGTTGCTGTAGGAGAAACCAACCCACTCTCCTGAAACCGATTCCAACTCCCCGTGGAACCGAGCAGCGCTGCTCCTTTTCATACCCCCTCCCTGCCGGGAGGCTCCGCCAACCAGAAGGAAGTTAGCGTTGCCTCTTGCATTTTTTCTCCCTGTTCTTGCTCTGTGCTTCCATCGTGCAAGAGTGGTTGGAGATAGAGCTCGATCTCGTTCAAAAAGTTGGTGGGGAAATTCCATTTTATTTAAATTATATTTTTCCACAAACCTTTTGAAGTTCATATGTGTGTGAGAGAGAGGTAGTTAGTTAACTAGTTCGTTAGATAGTTTGAGCAAGCATGTATTGCATGCATTATGCCACCCACAACAGTGAACCAATGGAACTTAAAGTCTAGCAAATCTCTGTTCTCATTACACCGTGAGTTCCTTGAGCATAAAACTCATCTCTGTGCCCTTGCTGCCGACCCCAGCCCCTGACCCAGAAAGCACTTGCTGAGTGCATGGTCCTGAATGGAATGGGCCGTGCCGGAGTGGGGGAACATTTCTGGGGACACAAGGTAACTGGGAAGCCTGAAAAAGGCACGCTGTACCCTCAGTTTCTATGGATAGCCACCCTTTTTCTATGTGGTGAGCCCATTCGGAGGGACTATGAGGCAAATTCAGAGAGGTGATCTACGCCTTTCTCACAGATAATCCAGAGCCCTGGAGACCCTGGACTGCAAAGAGCCCGAGTGGCTTGTAGCCTACGGAAGGTCTTCTTGCAGGAAAGCTGCCTCTACTGCAGCAGATCACACTGTGCCTGATCCCCCTTCCCAAGCCAGTTCTTCTCCTGGGGCTGACCGACCTCTCATTTGCTCTCGTCTCTTTCTTTCAGAGATCTGAAACTGGACAATGTCCTGCTGGACCACGAGGGCCACTGTAAACTAGCAGACTTCGGCATGTGCAAGGAGGGGATCTGTAACGGGGTCACTACGGCAACGTTCTGCGGCACGCCTGACTACATTGCTCCAGAGGTGAGTGCCGCGAGACCTGGTGCAGCTTTGGAGATTCGAGTTCTATGGACACCCCCGTGGAAATACCCCGGGCTGCCTTTGTGGCCGGTGCACCACAGCTGAAGCCTCCGGGCCAGCTACTGAAGCTCATCGTTCAAATGACGCCTGCACGAGGCTAGGACTTCTCCCTGGGAATCTGAGTTCTTGTTCTTTTTCAAGTTGGCGGTTGCGCGAGGTTGTCATCGTGAGTGGGGGACAAAGTGTGACCCTCGGTCAGCAGTTGTGTTTGTCTTAGTCTGCACTCTGGATCCTAGTGACTAGCTCAGTTCAGCAAAACTGAAGGCACGCTTCTGCATTCTCCGCATGCACACAAGCCCCGCCTCCTCTTCCTTTTGCCAGTTCCAGTAGCTGGTGACTCAGTTGTGACTCAGGACGACCAGATGTTTGCCAGAGGGGACTGTGCTCTGTAGGGTTTCCAATGGCTGGTTTTTCTAAAGGAGAGCACCAGGCCTTTCTTCCAAAGTGTCTCTGGGTGGGCTTCAATCTCCAACCTTTTGATTAGCAGCCAAAGGCATACTCATTGTGTGTACCACCCAAGGACCCCCCTCTTCCTTATCAGCTGATGTAGATGCAAACTTGGTTCCATTTGGAAACATCACATACCCTTACCTTGTCGTGGCAGGGCCATTGGCTAAGCAGACGGTAAATGTTTGGGGACCCCGGAGTGACCGTAAGGGAAAAGAGACCACTTCTTAGAAATGCAAGAAAACACATAGAGCAGCAGAGGAGATTTCACTCTCTTATGTTGGTATTTCCCGAGCCGTCGTCTCACCCAAGTTGTTGAGACAATGACACTACCAGATGCACACAGTGCTCCTAATGCCGCCCTCTTGCACAGATCCTGCAGGAAATGCTCTACGGACCTGCGGTGGATTGGTGGGCAATGGGTGTATTGCTCTACGAGATGCTCTGTGGGCACGCGCCCTTTGAGGCCGAGAATGAAGATGACCTCTTTGAGGCCATATTGAACGACGAAGTGGTCTACCCTACTTGGCTGCATGACGAGGCCACTGGGATCCTGAAATCTGTAAGTCTGGCTTCTTTCAACTTTTGCTCTACAGCACGCGGCCTTGCTGTATGCGTTTCTTGTGGTCTTTTTAATGCTTCCTAGGAGCAAGCTGCCAGTTTTTATTAAAAATCTGTGTTTTAATTTAAAGAAGCCAAGACCCGAAGGTCCATCAACCTGGGTCTCCCTTTATGCAACACTTATTTGGGGGCCAACTGCAGTAACAAGCAATAGTTTGTTTGCCACCAATCGAGTATTTCTAGCCCCGGTGCCTTTCCTTTAGGTGAGCTACTGCTCTCTCTCATTCAGCCCAGGGCAGGCCACACCTAGGTCTGTTCCGATACGCTATCTCCCTCAGCGATGTCCACGAAACAGGGTGAAAGAAGGCTTCTGCACGGCAGGTGCCAGGCTCCGAATGCCGAAGCAGCTTGCCTAATGTTGAGACCGTCTTTTCTGCGTGTATTCAGGCTCTTTCTTGGAAGCCTTACTTTGGAGTGAGGAAGAAACATAGATGTGGGTCCTTTATGTTGAATATAAGGCATCGCACAGAATCCAGGGCAGTTCTGTAGCCACATTCAAAACCCCAAACCAAACCTGCTGCCATTGAGCCCCTGTGACTCAGACGCCTGTGGGACAGGGGAGAAGTGTCCCATAGGGTTTCCCAGGCTGTAATCCTTACAGAAGCATGATGACCACATTTGGCTCCTGCAGAGTGGTTGGTTCGTGGGTTCGAATTCCCCAGCCTTTTAGCTAGCAGCCACGGGGCTCCTCAGAACCACAATAGTTACGGTAAAAAAACAAAACAAAGAACACTTGTGTATGTGTATGTCTGCCTTGCCACTGGGTACATGCACAAGAATGTAAAGATGAGTAAAAGAACAGTTCTTTAAGCAACAAAACAAGTCAGAGTCAGCCATTTAAATAAGAACTATGTGATACAAATTAATTTTCCTTCATTCATATCCTTTCTAGTGATTTTGGGGGAGAACCCCCCCCCCCCCGACTAATTTGGCAAATACTATCTTGTAGAAAGACTTATCTCTTTTCAAAAATCTCCAGCTATCTAATTGGTGCCATTTGGAAAACATTTTATACCCAAGTCTCTCTCCTGGGACTGAAGGTCCGGTTGTCCCTAAGGGTTCTCTGCTTCCTGACAAGGAAAATAATCATAGAAATCCTTCTCAGGCACAGGCTGCCAACGTGAACGGTAATGCGTGATTCATACCTTGATTCCCAAGGCCAAGGGTGCCTGTCCTTTCCCATAACTGAGGAAGCACAGCTCTCAGAGACATAAAAGGGGGAAGTACTTCAAGACGCTCCCAAATTCTCTCTTAGCCAGCTTGTTTCCGTAAGAACAGTTTGTGTATTTAGTAGAAATTTCAAACCAAGGAGACCAAGAATGTGGTATCTGTATCTTTATGAATAATTTTTTTAAAATCTAGAAGAAGGGCTTGTCCTTGTGACTGTGTGCCGTAAGTTTCTTCACTTGTTGAGAAGGGATCTAATCAGCTCGGTCAGCCAGGACTAACCCCCAGTGACGACTTAGACCAATAGCACAGCCTCATCGTGCTTCGGAGGCTGCATTACTTTGTGATTAGTTTAGTCTCAGTTCCTCGACCCGCAATCTGTTGCTTTGTGAGTCTCAAGGCATTTCAACCTCCTGTGACCTTCAACCACCACAGTTACTGCAAACCTTTATTGGTGACGAATATAGTTAATCCGACTGTGAAGTTGTGCGTGTGTGCTAAAGGATCCCTAACAATTCCACAATGTCTGCGTGTATCATTTAGTGAGGTTACAGTCTTCGTATTGTGCAACCATTCTCTTTTTTTGTTTGTTTGTTTGAAATCATTTTATTGGGGGCTCATAAAATTCTTATTTCACAATCCATACATACATCCATTGTGTCAAGCACATTTGTACATAGGTTGCCATCATCATTTTCAAAACATGTTCTTTCTACTTGAGTCCTTGGTATCAGCTTCTTATTTTTTCACAGCGTCTAGTTGAG